ATATGCTTTTAGGAATTCAATCCGTAATAATGGGGTGCTCTACCTTCAACTGTGGACTACAGACCACACTAGCGTTATCGAACCGACCCAACGTTTTCCATGACCCACAGTCCAAGCAGAGGCTTATTAGCGGGTTACCAAAGTTAGGTCGATGAATCAAAAGGTCGCAATCCCAATCTATGGATTACAAGTCCTCCCCTAGAGACGAGTCAAGGTCACCACGACCTTATGCGACCACAGCTCTATAGTGCATAGGGGTATCTCTCGCACATGCATACGCTTCACCCAAAAGTGGATATTTGGCTTTCCCGAACGATCTATCGATATGCATGCCGTATAATGGAACATGGATGAGATTTTGACCCCCGTCTTAATAGGTCCACCACAACTCACAAAGATCACATAGTCCCTCGGCTCTCTCATCTATGAATAAGCTCTGACATCATCAAAAATTAACTCAAAACCCTCATCGATTAATTCTTTATGCCCAGATAACTTGAATTTTACAATCGACTGACCTAGATCAATAAGCACAGTCCGGTATAAGTAAACATTATTTACTTAGTATAGTCATCAAAGGACCACACTCCTACTGAATTTATTTTTTACTATAATAAAAATATTTTAATACACATTCTTAAAACTTTAAAAAACTTTTAATACACATAAACCCAACATTTCCTCACCTTGAAGTCGATCAAAACCATTCCAATACATACCATTGTTCATCGCGAACATCTAATCACTAAGATGCATTGTAGCAAATGCTTGTTTCCTCACCTCGAAGTCGGTCAAAACCATTCCAATACATACCAATGTTCATCGCGAACATGTAATCACTAAGAATGATGTTACAACATTGTAGGAAAGAATTGTTTACAACTAAGACAGATTGCTTACAATAAAACCATTTACCTTTAGTACTAGCGATCACAATTATTTATAATATGATGTGAAAACAGATAGCTTAAATGTGTCATAAAGTCCAAATGTTTTTTTTGAACTTTAACTTGGTCAATAAAATACATCAAGCCACCCAATTTCATTTCCAACGGTCTCAAGATTAATTGTGATCACTTTGTCCGATGAAAACTCCACAAACCAAAACTAAAACGTTTGTCAGTGGTAGCCCATGGATGGCTAGCGACGCACGGCCTATTGCAAATTTTAAATCACTAATCTCAACTACATGAGCAAATGAAAAGTCCACAATCCAAAACTAAAAACCTTTGCATTATCTTGCCTGCAATATCTGCTCTTCTTCATCTACGAAACTAGTAGAGATTGTAAAACAAAATTAGCACAATTCATATGAAGACCGACCAATCAAATCATACTCCCAATGCTAAAACAAATGGCAAAATATCATTAAGATCTTGTCATACATTTATCTCTATGAACTAGAAACAAGAAAGAAAGAGTGCATCAATACCCAGAACAAATATTCCTGAAACTTATGTCACTTTTCTGAGGAAAAAAAAGAAGATAGGCATTCCACAGATGATTCTATTGATTTCTAGGGAAACCCTGGCATGGAGTTCGCTGTTTTGCCGGATCTTGATTCAGTCCATGCCTTGGCAATTGTCCTCTTCATATCTTCATCCCCTTCTTCATACATGTTCTGCCACATTTTAAAGCTAAACCGGTTACAAATATGCAGAAATAGGGGGACACGAAAGCCAATGGTAAATGGTACCCAAAAGAAAAAACAAAAAAACAAAAAAAAAAGAAACCCTATATAAAAGTAACTAATAAACAGGGCTTTGAAATTTGGGTGCGGTTTGTATAGAGCCTAGGCTCTAAAGCATCAAATTAGAGCCTACCTTCAAATAGTGCCGAAAAATGTGGTTTCAATATTGAAAATCTTTGTGTGATAGCCTTAATATATATTTTCATCTTTATTTATAAAGTTTAAAGCTTTAAAAATAGTGTAGATCAATAGATCTATGAAAACTTGAAAATCATGAAAATTGACGGTCCAAAAATGCTTTACAAAATACCCTACTTCCAAAACTTGAAATCCAATTTTTTTTCATGTCTACGCATCTTGATGTCAAGATAATCCATTTGAGGATATTTGGGCATCAAAACAACCTCTTCTAGCGAAATGTTTGAGGTAGGCTCAAATTTGATTGTTTAGAGCCTCGGCTCTATATAAACTTTTCCCTTTAAATTATACTACCTTTAACTACCCAAAAAAAATAGAAAGGGCTTTCATCCTCAGAAAAAAGAAAAGAAAAAAGAACACATACAAAACTTACCTTCATCATGTCCATGATTCCAGCCATTGGATCTTTGTCCTTGTCAAGGTTTGGCTTCAGCTGCATCAAGAATAAGACCCTCAGTTGGTACCCATGAATCATACAGGTAACCAAACGAATGGCTAAAGTTTACCCTTGCAAGTTGGTATCATTACCTTGTCTTCCTTGAAGTGCAGGTCCACCCAATTCCCCTTGGAAGCTTTGTGTAAAGTGATAATAACCTTTGATGGTTTTACTATAACCTTGGATTTCTCTGGTACAATTTCCTTGTTTAATTTGGGAATGGCACACCGATAGTTCTTTCCTTGGACATCATGGAATTTGACATCCACTGACATGGGCTTCAAAACAGTCTCCACCTTCTCGTGATCAACACCCTCTAGGAAAATATAAATCTGAATCACCAGAACATATGATGGTCAACATATCATTCAAATCGGAACAAGCACAGATAGTGCAACTGAGGAGGCAACAAGACAAAAAGAAAAAAAAAAAAACTCGAATGAATATAGTAAACACATTAGCATAACTAAAATATCAAAATCAATGAGAAAGAATCAAAAGAACGCAGAGGAGATGCTATAAAGAGAAGAGCCAATTGCAACATAGATTAATGTTAATCTCAATAAATTTTGTCCAGAAATGGGCACCCAATTAAATGGCTAGTTTCCCAAGGAATAGAAAGCTCTGGAATTGATATCAGATTGTGCACTGATGAATTGATATCAGATAGATTAGATGTTGCAATCTCAACAACCTTCCCCCACCCTACCTCCCTTTGGATTCAACAAATATCAGACAGAGCTTGATCAAGCAACTCATTTGGCAGGACTAGGGCCGGTATGGCAAACTTTGATTCAACAAACCCTCTCCCATGCCGAATTACAAAATTGAAAGCAACAAGAAATACAGATAGAATTTTGAATAACATCATCAACAGCCAATTAACAAAAACGCTATGGCACAAAACTAGAATACTAAAAGTGTAAGGATTCTAATTCTTTAAAAACAGAAAGTCAATGAACAAAAGATGCCCCCACCTCCTTCATTTGGTGATAGAAAGTTCTGTAACTGCTGACAAAAGACTTGAACCTTCAGAAAACAAACAGTGGATCAACCTGGGGGCTCTTAAGGCTGTGTTCTTCACAATGTACTGCAAAAGTCATGTTTCCTATGCATTTTCTATTTTCTTTCAGGAGGCATTTATCTTTTGAAGCAAAATCAATAACAAAGTGTTTAAAATATGTTGCCATCTCTCATACTTCAAACAAAGAGGCTGAAATTTCAGCCTTCAGGCATTTGCTTTTGGTAATCACTAGCCGAAGTGCAACTGTGATCAAAAAGCAAAAGGAGGATCTCTTCAGCTAAACTTGATCATTCTGAAAAGCAAAACAAACATTTGACACTATTACCTGGCAATTTTGACTAGATATGTTTAGGGGCAAATATCAGAGTTTTAAGTTCTTCATAGCATCTTCGAATTTATTCGTCTCATTAATCATTTAAGCCCAATTCATGGATTCCATATTTGAATATGCAACTTACTGTTCATAGTGACTTATACCGAATAAAATTTAATCATAAAATGTCTCAAAAGCTTTGGAATTGTTTTCATGCCAAGCAGTTGGAACTTAGTTTATGGTGTTAATTGCTTAAATCATTGGCTTCTGAGGTTATGAGTATGACATGGTTGCATTCCATTTGCAACTTAACATAACTTTGAGCCTATATTTGATCAACCCAAGAAATAAAAAATAAAGGGAAATTTATTAAAATATCCATGAGAGATGAATTAATGAACATTCTACCCAAATCTCACTATTCCAACTCAAGATAATGTATTTTTTTGTTGGGTATTTTGAAATTAAAACAAAAGATTAAATAAATGGATGGAAAGTCCTTTTATAGCTTGTAGGAATTTGACTCTGAATAGTTAACAGATAAGGAACATGAACCTTATAGAGAAGTGGTACCTTGCGATACACACAAATGTAGGCATATAAATAAAAAAAGGGAACTAAACCAGTAATTAAAAATTCAGGCTCAGGTAGGGACTCATTAGGAGTCTCTCGGTTTGCTTTGGGAAAGTCCGAGTTCAACTGGGTAGGACATTCTATAAGAGAAATTTTAATAACTATGAAAAACTAGGAGACACAGCGATTCAGAAATCTATGAAAAACAAGGACACGAGGCAATTCCGGGGCGTCTTGGGAATTGCCTGGCATACAATCCTGTCTGACTCGGGCAAGTCCCAAGTCGGACTGGAGATTGTTTTAATAAATAAACTATACATCTAGCCATCTTCCTACACTGTCCAATGTGTTAAGAGACCCAAAGTTTCATAAACTCCCCTATTTCAAACCACCCCTGTAGCAAACTCCAAACATTCTACCAGCAGCTTACACGAACAAGAATATGATAAGCAAAAATCTTCCACCATAACATTCAATCATGTCAAGATTGATACATAAAACAACAACTGGTTTATGAGAACATATAAAAAGAAACATAGATCTATAATGAATTGAACCATAATAAACATGCTTGCAAATTAAATGGAGAACTTGTGAATGACCGTCATAAATAATTCATGATAGTGAATCCAAAATAAAATTCCCCAACAACATCTCTTTGTATACCACAAAGAGCCTCAAACCACAATTTCCCAAGTAACCTATACTCTTATGCTCATGTTTAACATGCATACATGCAAGCAGTAAAATGAGCACACAAATAAATCTTTTTCTTTTATGTTCAACAAGCATACGTGCAATCAGTAAAGTGAGCACACAAATGAAGCAATACTTTGTATGGGGATATCAGGTCAAATTCCTGAGATATCTCAATAAAGACATTTAGCAACCAACTACAAACCATGGGTTAAGGAGAATGTTGACATTGAAAATTTAAGAATGATATCTCAATAAAGAATGATATCTCAATAAATACAATTAGCAACCAACTACAAAACATGGGTTAAGGAGAATGGTGACATTCAAAATTTAAGAAGAGAAGAAGAACCTTCAGCTTCTCAGCATCTTGCTCCCAACTAAAGGAGCTAAGAGTGGTGTAATTCAGTCCAGGTGTAGTCACAGGGACAGTCGTATTTGCAATAGGAGCTGGCACAACTGGTTCAGCAGGAGCTTTAAGTGACTGGATGAAATGCAATGACCAAAATAACATTAGCCACAGAGAAAAATACAAATTATTGAAAAATTGACACCTAGTATATGTGGTTGAAATCATGGATTCATTTTCAATATAAGCAAACTTTAGAGGTTCCCAGATCCTTATATCTGTCTTACAACCCATATTTTATATCAACTCAATCCCTTTTTGGCCCAATTTCAACATGTTGTTTGTTATAACTAAAATTTCAGACAAACTTCAGCAAATTTTCACAAATTTCAATTTTGCAATTTTTAATCTTTCGAATTGTATTTAGGCCATACATTCCGATCCAAAAGTCTATTTCTTTGGATTGATGAATTTCAGTAAGAAATCCAAAATTTTTGTTTTGGCCACTAATTTAGAACATAGGAAATGCCACACTCTAAATCCATCATTCACACTCTAAATCAATCATTCCCAGAGCTCTAGATTGTGTCAAAACATTGTCAAACAATGAAGATCAAAACATTTTAAAAAAGATTATAATAACAATCAAAGTTGATGAATAGAAGAGAACATTAACTGTAAACAATTAGAAAAAAAGGGAATTATGAAGAGAATATTAACTGTAAACAATTGGAAAGAAAGGGGAAAAAAAATCTATAGGCAGTACTTTCCCCAAACTTAAATACAATTCATGTAAAAATTGATAGGAAATAATTACCCCAAACATAAATACAATTCATGTAGCATTTTGTGAGAGAGAGAGAGAGAGAGAGAGAGAGAGAGAGAGAGAGAGAGAGAGAGAGAGAGAGAGAGAGAGAGAGAGAGAGAGAGAGAGAGAGAGAAGAAGAAGAAGAAGAAGAAGAAGAAGAAGAAGAAGAGAAGAGAACGTAAGTACGTAGTACGAGAACGAGTACGAACGTAGAGTAAGTAGAGTACGTA